AAATTAAGATATTGAGTAAGGTATAATACTAAAATTTGAATTATAATCAACAGTTTAATACCAAACTTAATGACATAAATTCATGAAATAGTAGTTCAATAAAATTTTGCATGCAAGTCATCAAATGAAATGACATGGTCTTTCACCCGTGACCCGTTTGGAAAGAGTTAAGTGTGTTTTATATTGTCTGATTGGTTTACATTATCAGTCAATAACATTTTAAGTTCAGGTCACTGACTAGGTTATTAAACTCAGTAGTAAACTCACAACAAAGTTTACCTTTCTAACTTGAACACTGATAAGTCAGAAAGAATGTAGTATTTAATTATGACTGGTTAATTTTACACTAAACAATAACCCTGTAGTGTAAAATAAGCTTTTACTATACTCATTATTAACATACTTTGTAGATGAAGTTTTCATGATTTTAGTAGTATTCAACTTTCACACCAGGACCAAAATAACCCGAGTCGCACAGATTTATTTACAAAAAGTTGTCATTAAAGACTATATAAACAATTTTTATGTGTTAACATAATTTATTTAATAACAATGCCTTCCAGTATAGTAATTTCCTAAAATACTTTTGCCAAATCACATTAGCATTAATAAAGTTACCTTTGCAAATGAATACTAATACTAGCCATGAGACTAATGAAGTTTCTATTGGAAATCAAAATTCAAAATTAAACCTGTTATTTTACATGCATGAAAGAGAATATGTATAGTAAAAATTTATGGATAATTGTGTTCAATTTCCTAGCAATGTAGTAGAAAACTTGCTTAATTAGTATATGAAAGAAATATTCATTAGTTTAATTTATAAACGGCATGTATCATTGAGTATACATAATTTTATGGTGATTGCAAAATTAACCCTTTATTGTACACATTAGAATAAAATATCTGAAACAACTTTTTCTTTGAATTTCTTACTTGAATAGATCTAGAATGTACAAGAAATATTTTTGTGAAATATAATTTGGTAAATTATCTAGAGGTACCTTTTTTTAATTGAAGAACTAACACAAATAATTATATGGTTTATTTAGACTATTACCTGGAAGTAAGAGTACTTGTATGTTTTTTTTAAGCATGAACACAGATTTGTTATCTGCTTGTTACAATGTGCAATAGAGGATTAATTACTCATATTATAATGCTTTGTTTGTCTTTTAGCATTTAATATAAATACAAGAGGAAAAATAAAATCAGTTTTAAAATTTCAGTAATGGCAATTCTGGAAAGATACGGTCTTTAAAAAGTCAAGCACCTTTACACTCCAGATGTATATATATATATATTTTTTTATTACTACAGATACACCACCAATTTTCTGGCACCCTTGGTTCCAGGACCTTGCCAGATTATCCATTTTGCTGGACCAACAGACGTCACTTAATAATGATTCAACAATACACTTCTGCCCTCCAATAATTATACCCCTCCCGTGTCAGCACCATGGACTGCTAGAAACTTAAATAAAACAAATATTAAATGTGAATTAAATGATTAATGAAATAGATTAGTACAGGTATAAATGGTACAGGTTTATTTATTACTGTATAAATGATACAAGTTTATTTATTACTCTACTTACAAAGAATGTTGCAGTAGTACCATGTCCAAAGTGGCAAATTTTAGAATTTTACTGTTATTTTCAATATGTTATATTTTGAATTTTCATACACTATTATCAACATTGTGTTGTAAAAAATTGAAGAAAAAATCGAAACTAAATATTTGTATCTTGTTAAACTACATGTTCTTTGCAACATTCATAAAACAATTCAAGCAATTTGATCTACTAGTTTAATTTTCAGGAGAGTGATGTACCTACTTAAAATGTAAGTATCCCATTCCGAAAGAGCGTGCGCCACGTGCAATGCCATCTGCAGTCTCCCAGTGAAGTAGTCTGGCAGTCGTGGGAATTTCAAGTGCACTCATGTGATTATGTCCGGATTAAAGGAGGTGCCGGAAAATCAGTGGTGTACTATATCAACGTTTCAATTTTCCAGCTTCTTCAGGGTTAATACATACAAACCGTTTGATATTGAAGTATACGGATATAATTAGAATACTTCTACTTTTAGATACAACAATTTTATTAGAGTAAACTGTAAGGATGTCATAAAAACACATAATTGTTATTTGATGTTTTAAAAGTTTCTCTGATCTATCTGTGTTAACCCTTTCACAATTGGAACCCCTTTAAACACTTCTCTGCGCAAGTCACTATGGTACATTCAAATTTTAATTAAACAATACCAATATAAGTGAATGAGTTTAATATTATAATGTGTGTTGTGAATCTAAGTTTTAAGTCCTTTATTTCAAAATAAACATTTAAAAAATCACATAACTTCACATTTATTGTCATGACCAATGAGCTATAAAGATTCTCTACCTTGGCATTCTGTATCTTCAATAATACAACAGCAGTAGTGTAGAGTTATGTCTAGAAAATGAGATGCTTAGATAACCTCTTGACTCTTTCATTTCAAAGTTCTCTGAATGAATACAGAAAAACAAATAATAAATTTTTTCAACCCACCTTCGATAGATTTGTTTGAGTTTTATAGCCTTCATGTAGACATTACAAACACGTGTATAACCATTAGAAAGAGTTCATTTTATAGTATAATCTAACAATGGTTATTTTGAAAATGGCACCAAGTTGTCGTCACGGTGTATGTGAAATTGACTATAGTATAGTTAGCTGTTTGTTCGACTATAGCATTTATGGTTGTTTCTTACCTAAATATGTTATAGTTACAGATACAATTTAAATTGTATTTAGGTCTTACTATAATATTTTAGTTATGTTTTAAAATGCATAATGAAAAGGTTTAAACATTTTTTAAATATACATCATACTTTGCACCCATTCTCAAGGCTTATGATATTATGCACTGAATGAAAATTTTGCCAAAGGGTTGCACATGTCTCCCAAAGAAAGTGTAATATGCCTCAAGGGCACCATTGAGTTGTGTCAAGATGAATAATAAGGACAAGAAAGAAAAATAAAACATTAAAAATTAACTACATGTGAAAAGGAAATGACCTGAAATTACAAATATAAGCAAAACAACATCTTTAAAGATATTCTACAAAAAAACAAAAGGGGTGTATTTTAATCATTTCATTGCATTGTAGTTGCCGATAATAGCTAGTGTCAGTGATATGGTAAAGAAAAGAAAATATAAACATTTACTTTAAAAAAACTTTTGATATTCTTTTAAGAGGGTTTAGTAGTTATGCAAATGACAAAGAAAAGTATTTTTTATACTGAAAATCACCTTGCACTCTATTTGTTAATAGGTTGAATGCAAGTAACTACAACACAAAAATAACATTGTAGTAAAAACACTTAATTATAAAACCGTCATTATTGTGTACAAGATACTTATGACTTCTAACAAAATCATACCAGTTTTTGAGAGGATATGTTTAGAAATCTCAGAGTTACCGCATGTATTGTTGTACTAGTGAAATGTTCATCTCGATTTCTACAAATTGCACGAGCCTGTTGCAAAAGGGTTAACACTGGACAAAACTAACTTCTAACAAAATCATACCGGTTTTTGAGAGGATATGTTTAGAAATCTCAGAGCTACCGCATGTATTGTTGTACTAGTGAAATGTTCATCTCGATATCTACAAATTGCACGAGCCTGTTGCAAAAGGGTTAACACTAGACAAAACTAACTTCTAACAAAATCATACCGGTTTTTGAGAGGATATGTTAAGAAATCTCAGAGCTACCGCATGTATTGTTGTACTAGTGAAATGTTC